TTTTTTTTCTCAAAATCTTTATCAGAAAGTGAAAATAATCACTCAATATATATATATATATATATATATATATATATATATATATATATATATATATATATATATATATATATATATAAACTTTACCACATTACATTATGCCTTTGTTATGTACTGGTTATATATGCATGGTGCCATTATATCTCAAATAAATATTATTTCTTAATTTGTAGGTTTGTGTATTAAAAATCTGCTTTTATGATGTATCTGCCTCTGTATTTATGATCCTGCAATTACTTTTCACACAAATTTGCTTCTAAATATTTTTTTAATGTAACGAATGGATGATTAATTTAAATGTTTGTACTAAAATAGTTTATACTGTAAATTCATACAAATGAATAAAAGTTGGGTCAATGAGGGTTTTGTTATATATTAATTAGAAAAACTATTTTATTTTATTTTTATTTTTTGGAAACTCACTTACTCTTACCAAAGCTGCAATAATTTGATGAATAACATAGTAAAAACATTAATATTATTAAATAAAATAAAAATTTTAAGTAAGTGTTTTTAATTTTTATATATATGTATATATGTTTTATGTAATTTATTTCTGTGATGGAAAAGCTGAATTTTCAGCAGCCATTACTCCAGTCTTCAGTGTCACATGAATAATAATTGTTTTTTTCCCCCCAGATTATTTTCATTTATTTTTATCAATAAGTGAAAATAACATGAAATCACTCAATTCATTCATTCAAAAATAAAAAAATAAAAAATCTTGGCCGCATTACATTATGCCTTTGTTGTGTACTGGTTATACTTGCATGGTGCCATTATATCTAAAATAAATATTATTACTTAATTTGTAGGTTCGTTCATTTAAAATCTGCTTTTGTAGGTTTGGCCTCCCATTCCTTACCATTGTCTATGCCCTAAAGAAGTTAGAAACTCTTCCTTTCATGGTGCAAGGGGCTAAGGGTAATATTAGCCCAAATACCCACTGATAATGTTATCTATTCACCTTTGGAACCCTAATTTTTTGACACTCTATGCTTTGGGACAGGCTTGCCTCTATATCAATGTACAGTATGGATTATATACAAATAGGAAAATAGCCAAGGTTTTCTCAAGGTCCCGATACAGTGCGATATGAGATGTGTCTTTTCACCTCACCTCAACATAACCTGACCTTCACTTCCTGCAGTGTTGTGTTTCTTTTGCAAATCCAGCAGACAGTGTTTTGTTACTCCTTCAGTTACATATGTTGAGGAAATGAAGAGAAACTCTCACATCTCTCTACAGTTTTGTCTCCATTGTCTTGCTTATGTTGTAAGTTCACACAATCTTCACATTACGTAGTCAGCGAGATCCTGCAAGATTCTTTTAACACGTTTGGTGTCTCGTACAGCACTTCCTATTTGCACTGCTAATTTTGAAACTTACTGTGAGGTTCTGTGAAGAGCAGCCCGATTGAGAATTTCAGATCTTTGCTGAAAGTAGAGCTGTTAGTTTTGAAGTTTTTGTTTTGTTTGTATATTCTGTATGGTATTGATTACATAGCACTACAAATTTTTCCATCTGCCTGACACACAACAAATGATCAGAAACTGCATTATACTCAGTACCATCAAGTTGAAGTTTGAAGTTTTATTCATCAAATTCATAACACAGTGTACTATAGTGTTTGCAGACAATTTAATGAGCTATACTGACTGAGCTGACTGCAGCTGCTGCGTTTAATACTAAATTGTAACTACCTTTTATTTTATTTAGAGTGGCCTTTTATTGTGGCCAGCCTAAGGCACACCTGTGCAATAATCATGCTGTCTAATCAGCATCTTGATATGCCACACCTGTGAGGTGGATGGATTATCTCGGCAAAGGAGAAGTGCTCACTAACACAGATTTAGACAGATTTGTGAACAATATTTGAGAGAAATAGGCCTATTGTGTCCATAGAAAAGGTCTTAGGTCTTTGAGTTCATCTCATGAAAAATGAAAAATGAAAATATCTATCTTATCTATCTGTCTGTCTGTCTGTTAATTTATTTATTTAAACATTTATTGTATGTCTGTTTTTTAATAAATATATCATACAACTTTTTTACAGTTGTTTGCAAATTCACATTTTTATGATGTTTTTTTTTCTTTGCTGCTAGTGCTCATTTTCATACAATAAAATGACCTTGGTTCCATTTATTTATTTATTTAAACAAAAGCCCTCCATAAGTATTGGAACAGTAGACAGAATTGCTCTGTTTGCTGTGGAGTCAAGAAATCTGTAAATATGTTTAAAAGATGAATATGAGACAAAACTACAAATTGTCACATTTTATTATTGGGTGATTCAACACATACGTGTTTTACCAACTAAGAAGGTCAGCACTTTTAGAGTTTCATCCCCCTATCTGATGTGAGCATAAGTATTGGGACAGTTGCCTTACAGGTCTTTCTGAGTGATCAGCTGTGTCCTGTTGCATTAATTGTTAAGTTATTAAAAACAGGGAATGTGTCGTATCAGTTATATCCATTGCTTCTGCATTCTGAGTCTTGCATTTGATGACGACGCACACAAACCAGGATGAAGATGAGGGAGCTGACTTCGAAAGAAAGCAAGTAATTTGGATGCTAAAAGAAAAGAGGAAGTCAATTAGAGCTATAGCAAAAACAAAGGGCATGGATAAATTAAGAGTTTGGAAGCCATTGGCGACATCAGCAAACAACAACGACCTGATCGACTGAGAAAACCAACAGCAGTTGATGACAGGCAAATCATAAAAGCTGTGAAAATGAACTCTAAGATACGTTTCTGTAAAACCTCCAGAAAGCTGGGGTGATGCTCTGACAATCTACTGTCCGCAGGAGACTTTCACACAGAAGTACAGAGGCTACACAGCAAGATGCAAACCTCTGATCAGCAAGTTTGCAAAAAAGCACAAATGTGAGCCTGTAGAGATTTGGAACAGAGTTTTATGGACAGATGAGACAAAGATTAACCTTTATCTAAGTGATGGGAAAACAAAAGTGTGGAGAAAAAGGCAACTGCAAATGATCCTAAGCATACAGCCTCATCTGTAAATCATGGTGGAGGTGATGTCATGGCATGGGCATGTATGGCTGTTTCTGGAACAGACCCTCTCAATTTTAATGATGACTTAAATGTATGAGAACAGTAGCAGAATGACTGCAGGAGTGTACAGAAACATCTTGGCTACCAATCTTCAAGAAAATGCTACCAGACTCATCAGAAAGCGCTTCATATTGCATCAGGGCAATGACCCAAAACACCTGCCACTTCAGTCAAGGAGTTTATCGGGGCAAAGAAAAGGAAAGTCTTAGATTGCCCAAATCAATCTCCAGATTTAAATCTGATTGAACATGAATTTCACCAGCTGAAGAGGAGACTAAAGGCAGAAACTCCCCAAAACAAGCAAAAGTTGGCTGCATTAAAGGCTGGGAAAAGCATTTCAAAGGATAAGACCAAGAGTCTGGTGATGTCTATGGGTCACAGACTCGCTGCTGTGATTGCACGTAAGAGATCTGCAACTAAATAATTGCAGGGCTCTACGCTTATTTTTCTTTTTAGGAGCACTTGCTCCTAACTTAAAAAATGTAGGAGCACAGTCAAAAATTTAGGAGCACCTTCTAATCAATAATCCAAAATTTGATTAAAAATTTGCCTTCCCATTACGAGGTGATATTTGACTCCTTAACGTGATTTACAGTGGAATTTTGTTTTTACTTTGTAATGGCATTTTTTACTTTATTAAAACTGTGTCATCTTTTATGTCAAATTTGAAAAAAAGTATATTTTATAAGCTTTTTAAAAATTCTGATTAAAACCGGTGTATTTTCAGACATTTAATGAGAATCAGGTGGCATGAGTGCAATTAAATCCATAAATACATGTTGAGATTAATGTTTTTAAAAAATTTGAATATAGAAATATTAAATGATTTAAAGAACTGAAAAGATACTTTAAAAATGAAACTAAAACCGCCAGCAGGTGGCGGCAAGTCACTGATTTTATCACTGAATCATTCATTCAATTGATTCATTCGAACAGCTGATTCATTCAGGAATGAAGCAAGTGACAGTATTTATGAATGGGTAATCATGAATCACTGACTCACCTGATTTGTTTAAAAACGCAGTTCATTCATAAACGAAACACCGCTGTGTTTGAATGGAGATGCGCAGCGGCTGAGCTGTGACTTTGTTTCAAACTATTTTCGACAACGAAATAGAGCAAAATCAGACAATAGTGTTATAGTCAGACAATGTAAGTCACTTAATATTAACTTCTTGTCTATTTAACTGTTGTATTAAATCAATATCACATTTGCAAACTCCCTTAAAAATCATTAAAAGCTGTCACTCATCTTAGCTCATCGCGATCTCACATTTATAATCAACGAAGCTCTCTGCACTGCACAATGAATCTTTTATTTACACTGTCTACACTTTGCTTATGAAAGGATTCGTGAGATATGTCTGTGATACATTACTCAACGCTGCAAAAACACGTAGAAACCTTTGAAGCTCCCCTCAGCCATCACAATCACAAATATGATGATAGTTTTGATGTAGTTTTCAGTCGCAAATGCGACTGAAATGGTCACAGTGTAGAGCCCTGAATAGCTTTTAATCTTTTACATCTGCCTTAATTTCAACAGTCCCAATACATTTGCTCACATCAGATAGTGGGATGAACTCTAAAAGTGCTGTCCTTTTTATTTGGTAAAACATGTATGTGTTGAAACAGTTAATAATTAAATGTGACATTCTGTAGTTTTGTCTCATATTCATCTTTTAATCATATTTGAAAATGTCTTTACTCCACAGCAAGCAGGGCAATTTTGTCTTTACTGTTCTAATACAAAATAAGTTTTTTTCAGTTTGTTCTTTTTTGTTGTTATTGTTGTTGTTTTCTTCACTGGTAGTGTTCGTTTTCATATATAATAAAATAACCTTGGTTCCATCTGACTACAAATGTCTGTTTGTTGTTGTTTCAGAGGGTGATTTTCAACATTGTGAACTTCAGCAAGACCAAGAGCCTGTACAGAGATGGGATGTCCCCCGTGGTGAAGTCGACCAGCCGGCCTAAATGGTATTCATACCCTCTGCAAATATCACATCTCCACCTACACGCTGCTCGCCACTGCGCTTTCCACGCTTTAATTCCAAATAACAAATCCACGACTTATCTTCTATGTGTAGCTTGTGCCTCTTCCCATTTATGTAACACAGGCCCGAGTATGGGTTCCACACAAGCCCTGCAGACACGGCCAATAAGACTTGACTGTGTACACTGTCATCATATCTGTCTGTCTTATCTCTCTGCTGCAAACAACAGGATTTTTCGTTACCACCTCTTCGGGTTTTCACACTGCCGGTGTTCCTTAAAGGAAGCATTCAACGCTTTCTCACTTTCTTTTCCTTCTCCAAGTTGACAATGGTGTGTTTGATGTTCCAGATGAGAGGTTGTGTTGCCGAGGATGTTTTTTTGTCTCCATGGTGATGCCGTCTGGGTAGAAAAAAAGGGACAGTGATAGTGCTGTTGATAGAGGAATTATGAGAAATGCCAGAGAAGGAAGTGAGCTTCGGGCTGGACAAACTCCTTATACGTGACTGTTTACGGCACGTCACACTGGTGCCATTTTCCCTAAACATGGCTTTATTCAATTAAATTCAATTAAATTCAGTTAATGTAATGTTTTAATGAATGATTAATATAAATGTTTATACTGAATTAGTTTAAAATTCATAAAAATGAATAAAAGTTGGGGCAATGATCCTTTTTATATATATTAATTAGTGAAAACATTTTCATATTCATACCAAGGCTGATGAATGATACAGTAAAAACATTAATATTGTAAAATATCATTACAATTTAAAATGTTTTTTTATATATATATATTTTAATGTAATTTATTTCTGTGATGACAAAGCTGAATTTTCAGCAGCCATTACTCTAGTCTTCAGTGTTACGTGATCTTTCAGAAATTTTTTATGCTGATTTGGTGCTATAGAAACATTTATTTTTATTATCAGTGTTGAAAACTGCTTAATATGTTTGTGGAAACTGTGGCACATTTTTTTGAGGATTCTTTGATAAATAGAAAGTTCATAAGAACAGAATTCATTTAAAATAGAAATCTTTTGTATCACTATAAATGCATTTACTGTCTCTTTTGATCAATTTAATGCATCTTTGTGGAATATAAGTTTTATTAAAAAAATAAATTCTGACCCCAGACTTTTGACCGGTAGTGCATTTACAAACATATCTTATATACTGTACAAATTGTAACTATATACATACATGTTTATTGCGGTTTATTTATTTATTTTTTGATATTTTACAGACTTTAAGACATTTTTCACTAGTAGATTAAGATAAATTATTTTCCCAGCTTTCAGATTCTGGACATCATGTCAGCCAACAACATGGAGGATTTGTTTTGTGATCGGTTTTGCACAGATTCTCACACAGTGGGGAAAAGAGCTATAAGAGCTTTAATAGTTGGCTATGCCCTGGGGCTGTTTTCACAGACTTGTTCCAGCAACAAGTTTCAGTCCTGTAGTGTGCGAATGACTTGTGTGACAGTGTACCTTGAGCACTTCCCGACAACTTTTGGAAAAGTTAAGTTTGGCAAATTCCATGTACCCGCACATGCACCGATACACACACACATCCACGCCTCCTATCAGTATCAATCAGAGTGGTGCATTACCATTCAAACACTCATCTGCCAGGTTGAATTTGCATGGGCCATGCAGTCTGGACAGGTGAGGCCTGTCAGAGGTAATAGCAGGGAACTGATGGATGCCGAAGTGTGCGTGCATCCATACGGGTGCGTGCGAGAGAGCCACTACGCCACGTTATCCTGACGCGCCGAACAGAGGTCATGTGACGGAGAGTACCCGCTCAACGGAAGCCTTGACATCTGTCACGAGTCGATCAAGGGCATTCAGACAAATGGCAGGCATCTGCCAAGGGAGCCTGTCTTCCTCTGCCAAGCCCTGGTCACGGCCTAATGGGACAAGACAATTAGATGGAGATGCTGCCGGAAAACAATGGACTGCAAAACATTTCACAGTCAAGTTGACGTCTCCTACGTGCCCGTGTTTAACATTTCCCTCAGGAGTGTGCCGGGGTTATTTACGAGTTTGTGGCGTGCTGTAGCTCACTCTTATTGCAAACCATTTTTTAGAAATGAATAGGGCTACGTCTGTAGTGATAGAATGTAAAAGGACCTCCAAAGCTCTGGCAATGCAGGTGGATGCAGAGGGCAAGATCAAATACAAATACATTCTATCACTGCAACGTCTGCACAATTATGATAAAATAATAATTAATATGTGTGTTAGACTTGCTGTTTCGATGGAGGACTGTGATCTATCTAATCTGTCTATCTGTCTATCTATCTCTCTCTCTCAATCTCTCTCTCTCTATCTATATTTGAAAAAAAAAAAATATATATATATAGGCTTAGGCAAATGACATAAATAACATAATAAAAATAAGAATAAGAATAAAAATATGAATAAAAATAGTTTGCCCACAAATTATAATTGCCTTAATTTTAACTTTTTTTTAGATTGTCATACTTTTGAACATGCAACAAAATTATATTTTTATGGTAGATTTTCATATTTTAAGACTGGGTCAGATGAAAAGTTATATGATCAAAATCATTTTTAAAAATAGCAAAGATAAAGGCCTGGTAAAAGTTGTATAGTTCATATTAGCAAAAGAAAACGGTTTAATCTGTTAGTTTTGTTCATTTTTCACTTAGTAAGTTCATTTAGTAACAAAACTTCCCCTGGGACATAAATTATCATTAATAATTATGCCCTGAACAACATGGAAACAGGAGTAGACCTAAATTAATGCTATAATCAACATTTGACATGTCTGGTTTTCGTAGTCTCAATCATTTATTTGATTAAGTAAATAATATTATAACGTAATATTATAATTTTGCAGCCATAAGTTGCAGCTCAATTACGACTTAAAATAAACTTTTTTTTTAGATATTGCATTGAAAAATGAACAAGACTGGCACATATCCTGGGCTGAACTCGAACCCAGGATGCCACAAGCACAAAACTTCTCAATATACCCTCTGTGTATTAGCTCCAACCATCAGTCTTATTTCTACTCTTTGTGACAGTTCTTTAACAGTAACACAAACTCAGCCTTCCATTATCAAAAAATGAACTTTTTTGCTAACTGGAATTGGAGCAATTTTTGCTAACTGTCTAACATTTTCATAGCAGAGAGGAGGCAGATTGACATTAGACGACATTTATTTCCACCGTTATCAAAGTCATTGTCTGAATCATTATTATTATTTTTTATACCAATCTGGAGCTCAAAGGACCGCCGTTTGTGTCAGGCTGCAGCATGCGGTGTGAAAATAAGCCTGTAGCATTTAGAGACTCTGAATACCCAGGCAAAAGAGACGGAGAACCTCTGTGTACAAATGCCACAGTGATAGCCATCAGATGGCGAGATCAGGGTGAGCTGATCATACCGTGCACTGGTCGCCGCCGCTGCGGTGCAGACTCGGGCATTAGGACTTCAATAAGATGAGGAAAGACCACGTAATTCTCACACAAACGCAAAACGATCCTCTCCATTTCGCATCCAATTATAGAGGTGTGAAAACAACATGCTGTGACACAAAGGGAGGCCTTACACACACATGCTCCTTTCTCACGACACACACAATCACACACGTGATAATGGCTATATGTGCGGAGTGGCTATATGTGGTATTTAATAGATTGTGTGTGAAACCGAAGTAAAGGGGAAGGTTTATGTGATCATGTAGCACTCTGTTGTAAATTAAGTTTTATGCTAGTTTATGACTAGCAACAGCAAGTAGCAAATGTTATTGTTTCAGTCCTAAAGTTTTTTAGTGTGTTGTGCCTAACACTCATACTTTATTTACTTTCTCAGCCATAAATTGCTTGCAACGTAACTAAAGTTTATTCTTTAGTTTCTTCAGTGCTTTCATATATTCACTTCCAGAAAAGAAAATGATGGCAGTACCCTTTCAAAGGGTTCTAATATGTACACTTTAGGTACTAATATGTACTTTTAAAGTATTCATATGTACCTTTAGTGTAGATACCTTTTAGCTTTTGTTCCATAAAAGTGTAGTAGAAGCTTAAACTAAAGACTGTAGGCCATTTAAAAAAGCAAAGGGGTTGATCCCTTTCAATATGTCCCACCCAAATATATGGTTTCAACCAAATATGTGAGTATTCTTCTGTGATTCATAGTTGCTGAGGGGCAATTTCAGAAGACATTTGAAATTTGCAGACAAATAGTGTCATCTCAATGTTTTGAGCTTTAAAATCCCCAAGCAGCCATCTTTCATTTCTCTTGAGCATTTGGTTTGTATTGTTGTTGCCCATGAATTTCTCTTTCACATTCTCCTTTTCGCTCATTTTCCATCATGACAGCAAAGTGGAACTGCTCAAAAACTGCTAATCTCTCTTTGACAAGTAGATATGAAATAAAGCAAAGAGCAGCTTTAACTGTCTGATCCAGCCCTGTATGCAGCATTGGATAAAGTCAAGAAAAAAGATTGAGCGTGGGAGAGAGAGAGTGAGGAAAGGAGAGAGAGACAGTTTAAGAAAAAAAGAAGAGAACAGATTGCCTTTGCTGCCTTTATCTGCAGAAAAGTCACTTTTAACCTGAAAGTTGAAACCTTTATCTCTATCTGCAGAGACCGTTCTTCCTCAAGGCTGGCTGATGCTGGAGCCCTGTGTGTGTGCGTGTGTGTGTGTGTGTGTGTGTGTGTGTGTGTGTGTGTGCGTGTGCGCCGCCTGGGGCTCATCTGTTCTTGGCCTCCATGATAGACAGACGGGCATCAGATTGGAACTTGGATGCATGCATGTTTGTTTCTGGATATATGCGTGTTTATGTGCCTACAGTCCAGCAACAGGTGCAGTAATTATCGGGGTGAGGGAAGTTCCAGAAGCAGGTTACAACAGCTGACAAGCAACATCTTACAGCAGAAGATCTGACAGCACTGGAGCTACACCACACAAGATGGCACGCAATCATTTCAGACAGTCCGTCTTTGT